GGGAGTGCTCCGAATGCTATTCACTACTCTCTTTCTTCTTTTGAAACATTATTAACTTTTTATACATTACCTACCGAATATTGCAACGTCTTTAAAAAAAAGGTCATGTGTCGAAAAGGAAAATATGACATGAATGCTGTTAGTAGTTCTCGAATTGTTAGGACCACATAAAAATATTGTAAATGTGTTTAATTATTATAAATAATTAATAATGGTAGTGGTTAATTGATAATTTATAGAATAATTAATATTTATTATTAAATGATTTAAAATAAATTTATATATTAATATTTTTAAACATTATAATTAATTATAAATTGAATCAAATTAAATAATTTTACAATATTGTTGTGTGGTCACAGCTATTAGCTATGGCATTTTCTAAAAATAATAAAAGTTCCAAATTGTTCATGCTAAATCCGCCCTTGGATTGCTGGAAAATCAAAATCTGTTTTTCCAGAGATTTATTTAGTCTCCAAAAATAGATTGTTATCAAAGATTGCTAGATTTGAAAGAATTTCTAAATTCTAGAAATTCCTTTTCTAGGGAAATATACCAGCGAATCAAACACTGGAAGTTAAAACACTGAAAATCTTGCAAACATTGTTCAACCCACCTTCTATAATTGAGTAACCATTCAAAAATTATCTTGTAATCAATGCAAACATTATTCAAATAAAATCGTAATCTCGGGGCCGGTTATTGTCACCGGCCAATTCGATTTTTTTTTTTTTTTTTGATACCACCGGCCAATTTGTTAATGCTTCTACTATTATAACCAATATTGGGTAAGGACACTAATAATTATTAAATTTTTATTTTAATTTAATTTATTAAAAATAACTACTAATTAATAAAGTCATTATTATTTTATTATTTATTACATTAAAATTAATTTATATATAAATATTTTTAAATATTATAATTAATTATTAAAAAATTATAAATAAATAATGAAATACTATCTATCCGTCTTACTTTTTAAAGATTATGAGGAAAATCATTTCAAGACTATGTTATTTTAATAAATTCTCATTGAAAAATACTAAAATACCTTATTTTTAAAACATGCATTGTAGTGCTTTTTATCATTTCCTATAGTATTTTATTAAAATTACGTAGTTTTGGAATAATTTTCCTTATAATCTTTAGTAAATAAGGCGGATAAATACTAATCCCAATAAATAAAATTATAGTTAAATTAATTTTTTTATCTTAATTACACTATAAGAAGTAATCTCTCTTGTCCTTTATCTACTTTATTTTCATACTATGCCATTTGAATTCAAAATCTACATATTATATGATTCAAATTCAATATTTGGATGCAATATTACTTCTAATAAAAAAATTATTATTCAATTTTTTAATTCATTGAAAGATAGATTTGATATATAAGAAATTAGATGTTATAACCTCAACCTCATCAAAGGTTTTTTCTATTGTGCTTACTATTTTACCCTTTCTTTTAACCAACATCAATCCCTTCCTCTTTGCCTTCCATCAGTCCTAATAATGCAATGCCCACAACCCATTGAAAATGAAAATTGGTACTCTTGCAACTCTTAAGCCGACTACACCAATCACCCATCAACTCCTCTTCCTTCCTCCTTTCTATCCCTCGTTGAAGCTCTCCCCTCCTACCTCTACCTCCTCCATGCCCATTGTCTCCATGTTTACCTCAAGTGGCACAACATGTTTCATTTCTCCTACAATTTCTCTCTTTCTTAATTATGGTGCTTAATATTAACTCATTTTCCCTCTTTGAATGGAAACTCTACTTCTCCCTTCTCTAGCTCTCTATGATTGTTTAGAGTTTTTTTCTAGGGATTATTTTTTATGAGACAAATTGTTGTGGCAGTTTGAATTTAGGAATAAGATCTAGTTGTGTTAGAGATGTAGTTGCAACGAACTCTGAAGTCTCCTCTTGTTTAGATCTTATCTTCAGTTAACCTGCAAAGCCCCAAGGTTAATCCTCAGGGTAGAGACTCCGATGCCTAAATGAGTAATAATCGAGTCTGCTAAAAAGGAAGCAAAAGCAAAGCTCGAGATCGGTTCTCATTACCTTTAGGGAAGGACAATTGGGGGGCATTTATTGCCTTCAAAGAGGTGTCCACGTGTTTTTTTTTTTTTGCAGATAACCGGAATCATATGTGTCAATCATCGTGGAAATATCTTATATAAAGATTAAACATATACGAACCTACTATAGGTCTAGAATAGAAGGGACAAGCTCGACTTGAGAGCTAGGCTTCCATGGGGATGAGTTTGGGTTTGCTTAAGTGTGGTCCGAGTTCCTCCAAGATTGTTTACCTCATCCGAGGTAGTTTACCTCAAACCATCATCACAAGAGAAGTTAGGAACTACTTTCATCTTCATTGAATTTTTGTCTATAATTAATGGAAGTTGGAAAGGAAAGTGAGAAATTTAAGAAATCTACAGAAGAGAGAGGTTGAAGAAAGGAGTAAAATAGTAATTAAATGAGAAAATCTTAAAGGTTAAATGTCAATTTTGGTTTCTTAACTTGAACATTTTATATAGTTTTCATTCTTTAACTTTTTTATATATTTTTTGTTTTTTAACTTTAAAAAAATGACTAAAAAATGCATTTTTCATAGTTAAGGGATAAAAAAAGTACATAAAAAAATTAAGAAATGAAAATTATACAAAACTTTAAAATTGAGGGATCAAAATTAATATTTAACCAAAGTTAGAAGTGTCCTTAACAAATTGTCTACTGACAATAATCGGCCCCACAATTTCTACATGCCGAGTACCTTTTCTTTCTTGAAAGATAAATCCCGTGTCCTTAGCAAATCTTTGCAAAAATATATATATATAAATAAATTTTATTTTTTTATTACTAGTATAACATGGATGTTTTTAAATTAAATAATTAAGTAATTTTTTATTTTTTATATAAATTTATTAAAAATATATAGTTAGCATACTTTTAAATCAAAATAACCTAATGAAAAATTAAAAACTTATTATAAATAAATAAAAGTAAAATGTGATCGAACGGACTCTAGTAGAGCCTTTTTCTTTTTCTTTTTCTTTTTCTTTTATGGGGGAAAACAAGTTAAAGTTACAACTTTTCTTTCTTTTTTTTAACCTTCAACAAGTTAAGTTACTACATTTAACCTCGCCATTTTTTTTGGGTCATAAAAACATATAGTAAAAAGAAGTCAGAAGACTCAGAACAGTCGTACGTACGTACACTCGAGTCCTGACCGACACTTCACCCCACTTCTCTTGCCCGCTCTCTCATCAAGGAATCTATTACCATTATTACCATTTGTTTTTATATTCTCTCAATTAACCCCACCTTCTCATCCAACGGCCCTCGTTTCTCCTCCCTTCCAAATCTAAATCTCCACCGTCCGAATTAGATCATCATTATTGCAATTCCCCCCAACATATGACATGGCCTCTCTCCCCCTACCCTTAACTCTTCCAGATCTCAACACCCATACGCAGACAAACACGATTTCTTTTTCTTTCTTTCTTTCTTTCTTTCTTTCTTTTCTCTTCACATTAGGAGGGGGGAAAAGTTTGAGCTTGTAATTCCCCTTCTCTCCTGCCCTTCCTCCGTTCTCCGCCAATGGTGGAAGCGCAGACATGGAAGACCCGGCGGATGAGCAATCCACGCCTTGACGGCGCCGCCGCCACAGACAACCAGGTCCTTGACATCCCCGGTACCCCACCTGGGGATGTTCGAAACACCTCCTACTCTAATGGGTCGCACCTCTCTCCTAACCTCTTGACGGCCTTGATTATTGCTTCCTGGTTTATGTCCAACATCGGTGTCCTTCTTCTTAACAAGTACCTCCTTAGCTTCTATGGTTACCGCTACCCCATCTTCCTTACCATGCTCCATATGCTCTCCTGCGCCGCCTACAGCTACGTCGCGATCAATTTCCTCGAAATAGTCCCCCGGCAACACATTTTGTCTCGAAAGCAGTTCTTCAAGATCTTAGCTTTGAGTGCGATTTTCTGTTTCTCCGTCGTGTGTGGCAACACTTCCCTGAGGTACATTCCGGTGTCGTTTAATCAGGCGATTGGAGCAACGACGCCGTTCTTTACCGCCATTTTCGCGCTCTTGATCACCTGTAAGAAGGAAACAGGGGAAGTTTATTTAGCTCTGTTGCCGGTGGTCTTTGGGATTGTGTTGGCCAGCAACAGCGAGCCTTTGTTTAACCTTTTTGGGTTCTTGGTTTGCATCGGCTCCACCGCCGGCCGCGCCTTGAAGTCGGTGGTTCAGGGGATCCTGCTGACAAGTGAAGCAGAGAAGCTCCATTCCATGAACTTGTTGCTCTACATGGCGCCCATGGCGGCGCTGATTTTATTACCGTTCACCCTCTACATAGAAGGAAACGTGGCGAGGATCACGCTAGAGAAAGCAAGGACTGATTCCTTCATTGTGTTTCTGTTGATTGGGAATGCTACGGTGGCATATTTGGTGAATTTGACAAATTTCTTGGTTACCAAGCACACGAGCGCGCTTACTCTCCAGGTTCTGGGGAATGCTAAAGCCGCCGTGGCGGCGTTCGTGTCGGTAATGATCTTCAGGAATCCAGTGACGGTGATGGGGATGACCGGATTTGCGGTCACCATTATGGGTGTTGTGCTTTACAGCGAGGCAAAGAAGCGATCTAAAGTTACAACACATTGATGAAGAAGACTCATTTTGATGGGCACAAACTCTCTTTTCCATTTTATTCACTTTAATTTCTTTCTTTTTTTTTCGTCATTTATTTTGTTATTAGATTTTGATGAAAGAAGAGAGAAAATTTGGGTCCAAAGAAATGTAATTGGATTGTATAGGATGATATAAAGAGGAAAAAGGGATTCAATGCTCTTTTTCTTTTTGCAGCAATTATCGACACACATACAATGATACAAGACTTGTTCCTTCAAATAATTGTGTTTTTGTTGGGGGAATAACTTACCCCATTTTATTAAACATATTGGAATTGGATTCCCTGCTTCTGCACATTTTTTATTTCTGCAATTCTAGATCAGTTGTTGGCATTAACTCTTTGATTTCTCTTTTTTCTTTTCTTTTATGCTGGGTTGCACAATGAACTTAGGCTATCTGCATTGCATATCTTGTAATGAAAAAAAAAAAATTACTACTAAGTTATATAGGTGAATTACTAGTTCTTTGATTTTTGTTTATGGTTTTTGAAGACTTTAACTTGTTAGATTTAGGTTCTTTTCATATTTTTCAAACCACTTGAGGGTTTATCTTTGTGATCTAAAACGTGGCCTATTGACATCTATCAACAGTTAACATTTATTTCTCAATATGGATGTTGTTTTTCTATATTAAATACTGAGGTAAACAATAAATTGGCTTTAATTTGATGTGTAATTTTTAGGTGCCACATTGTTTGTCATCAGAACCATGTTCATCTTACATTTTTTGAACTGCACTTGATGTGGATTTGCTATCAAACTAGTGTTGCTTACGCTTTGATGGTGGTTGAGCCTTGAGACTCTCTTTTACCCAGCATAAAATTGCTTAACACTGTCGTCTTAATTGAATGGAAAGATATGGGACTATAAAGTTCTGGATTCCAGCATATATGTCTGGACTAAAACAAATAAAGACAATAGAATCAAATTCCCCAAATCAAAAGGCAACAAACAGGAGTAAATTCGAATTCCCAACATCTAACTACTTATGGCATTAAGCCAACCCAATAATGCCAAGAATAAGCACAATCCAGCCGTAGTATGTAGGTGCAGCATTTGTTCTTGCAGCTGATGTGTCTGGGCTAGCAGCCAGTGAATGACCAGGGGATTCACCTTCAGCTAGCAAAGTAATGGCCAGCTTCATGTTTCCGGAGGCACGGTGCGTCCCAATAACACAAATATACCATTTTTGTCCTGGGGTGGTGAGATTTATAATCTTTTCCAGAGGTAAGGGCCTGAGTTGCAGCTGGTGCTGCACACTGCTGAAATGCAGTTCCATCAACTCTAAGCACATTGTGGGCTCCTTCTTGATACTTAAAAACTGCACCAGGAAGATTAAATTTTGTTAATTTGTTACCCCCTGGGCTTGAGATAACTCATTGGGAATGAGGATAAAGGCTGTTAATCCATACCAAGTTGGTCTCCAACCCGGAAATCTTTGCTGCTGCCCAAGCCTGGTAATTGAAGTCTCCATCCTTTATCATCTCCAATTATATGCTCAGTTGCTAAATTCAAAGCAACAGAGGCTGCAAAAATAGCAAAGATGATGAAGAAAACCTTGGAAGAGGCCATTTCAAGTGTTAGTAAGCAGCCGCCTGTCTCTTTTAATTATTTGATGGATATGTGCAGTGCTGGGAGTTTCATGTATTGCGTATTTATAGAGTTCATTTCTGTCCGCGACTGGTGAATTTAGCAGCAAATGGACTGTCTGAGCCGGTAATCGGCATATGGCCGTTCCTAAAGACCCTGCAAGTGTATATCCAAGGCAATGAAGAATGAAACTTGAAATAGAGCAATAACCAATATTTTGATTAATTAATTAATTTCTTGGAACTGTCCATTCTAGCTCCCTGCAATCCACATGACCAGTTCAAGAAGTGATTCTCAAGAATTGCCGAACTGATCCACTGGCCTATTTCCAACAAATGTCATGAGGGTGACACTGAATGAAGTAAAAAGGACACTGTATGATGAATTGATGATGAACAAGGGGTATGAGATTGTTAATGAATTCATTAGACCTTTTCTTTTTTTTTTCCTTTTTGCGGTACAGCAGAAGGATGTATTTATTTGAGTCATTTGACTATGGAGTGTAAGCTGTAGACCATATGGGTACTGCATACATTATATAAACCTCTGACTGAGATACAGTATTTTGGAGGTTGAAGATTGTTTTCCACTTTCCAGTGATGTGGTTGTCCACAGGTTCCATATACAGCAAAACTCTTATATCATTTGATGGCATTTGTGTGATTATCCTTCAGACTTGCAACTAATGGCAGCGACTTAGTTGATGCCGGTATCAGAGATCAATATACAAATGCTTTGCTTTCATCGAATGCCCAGGCTTCTGTAGCAATTACAATGTAAAAATATATAGCATCACTTATCATATGTTCAGTTCAGTCCGTTATCAACAAAAAAATTCATATATGCAGTTAGCATACCATACCTCATGTTCACTTGGTTATCCACTTCAAAGTCTCCATCACCACATTGAATCTTCCTTCCTTCAAACAAAGGTGGCTGTTCCTTTCCCAAATGTCTTTTCTGCATCAAAATGGCATTAGAGGAAAAAAATGGAAATGAATAGCAGAAAAAGATTGATTCAAAACTAAGCTTGAAGCCCGCATGGAAGCCTGAAGCTTACCTCAAGTTCTGGTTGAAAAGAAGTCAATCTGTTTTCTTTTGAGCCCTTGGTACCCAAATAAAATAAACTCAATATGGTACTAAAATGACAACTCCAAGTAAGAAACCGGATATACCAAGGAAAGAAGGTGAACCTTTGTAGTTATATAGGTGGGTCCAGGCATCCTCCACTGAGGTACATTATTTTGCTGTAGTTCAGACGTTAATGACAGCTAGCAATTCATCATGGAAAGTGAAAATGTAAGAACATAATAATGGAAACAGTCATGCTAACTATTTTTCAGGAGGAAAAAACAGTAATTTCATGGTCACAACATAATTTAAGGTGCAAATAGCCAAATACTCATTTTTACCTTACTGAAAAGCTCTGTGGGTGGGTTTTGCTGAACTCTCTTATCTGTATGGAAACTAAATTCCTGTATGATGGCGAAACAAAAATTTTCACCTTAGTGATTCAACGATCAAGCAAATCTATAAACATACAAAAAAGGAGATCATCCATGGCCTACCATTGGCACTGTGGTTTCCAGCTTTCTATTTCTGAAAATACCCATATCACCTTTACTAGAAAATATCTGCACATAAAGAATTAGGTACAAATTTTTAGTTGTCCAAAACTTTTGGTACAATGTTAAAAGAAAATTTTATCTAAGCTTGATATCATTACCTTCTTATTAAGAGGACGAGCTCTGAATGTATACTTTGTGTCACCCCCTTCTTGCTTTGTGGTATCCATAGAAGTTGGTCTGAATAAAGCAGGGTCAATTTCAGAGGTTAAGTCCCATTTCCAATTTTCATTCAGTGTGATATATATAGATTACATACACATGGAAATGCATATATACATCAATGTAAAAAAGACTATGTATGATTTCACATATGATAGACCTTCTGGGTTCTTGAGTTCCACTGTCTGCAACAAAAGTTGTTCTAGGTTTATCCGGCCCCTGCAATGACAACAGTTTAGTTTCCTTATAAGTAACTAACAAGGGTAAGCAAAAATTGAAGTAAAATGATGCATTAGACCCAGTTTTCTTTCTGATAAGCACATTCACAAATTTTCATATGAATACTATTTTGCTAATTGGCACAAGAGGCTTTTACAGGATAAAATGAAAACCTTAACAGTATGACTGCTTTGGAGTGATGATGATGATGAGGCAAATGAGTGTTGTACTGCCCTTTCTGATGTCCTCAGGTGAAATTCCTGAGAAGGAATGTAAAAGAAAAAATGAGCTACAAATGGTACAGAAGAGAATTCCAACATTTTTGGGCCGCATTTACCTCTAGAGGGTAATATTATTCCAGGAACAAGCAGGGAAGTTAATTTCTGGCACTCACCCGAAATTCTGGCAACTTTGGTGTGCTCTTTTTTGGAAGTGGAAGTGATGGAGCCTCGAGAATCTGCAAAGTTTGAACAAATGCATAAAGGGAGGAATGCAAAAAACAGCCACTGTTTACAAGAGCATGACTCATATTTGTCATAAATACCAACTTTTCGGTTCAATCTGCGTGCTTTGAATCTCTTTGCTGCGGACTTAACATGTTCTTGTTCTGTACCAGTCCTGGGCCTGAAACAAAGACATTAATGTCCCAGCAGCCCGTTAGACAAAACTTTTTACTATACCTGTTCATGAAATAATAACCACAGCACAAACCAACCGTATCCTTTGTGCTCGATGTGCTGTTTCTAGTTCAGGCTCTCTTGGAATTGTAAGTTTCAGCTTGGTATGCATTGAGATTTTATCAGTAGTTCCATCCTGAAAAACCACCAAAAGCAGTAGACAAACTTTACTTATACAGAAAACATATTTCTCTCTACCCTTTCCTACCCTAAGGCATATTCTCTTCCCTTATTCTGTTGTCTGTACTTCACCTCTTATTAAGTCATGAGCAATAAAATGTAGAAAGTAAGTAAATGTTCCATCAAAATAAAATCAAGCACCCACTTTATTTTTATCCACTAACATAACAAGATAGCTACTTATGTAACGTTTTAGAAAAAAGGCAAGTTTTTCCATTGCATGAAAGCACCATCTACATCCCAGGCTACTTATGTAACTTTATAGAAAAGGAAAAAGAGTCGGGTAAACTAAGTAATTCAAATCTTGAGACAGCTGTAACATACCTTTTTAGGTACCTTGTGAACCCAACTAGTTTGCTGATTTACATCACCAACCTGACAAACAGAGAATTTTTGAAGTGGGGCTCAATCCTGATTATATAACATACCTAGCTCAACCCAATTGTAGTAGTAATAACAATTAGAACAATAAATTGAGGGGCCATAGTAGATCCACTGAAGCCACAGAAGGCAGTAATCACAACGGTGAACAGTCTATCTAGAGGTTCTGAGGTCGGGCAAAGTGGGTGAACTGATCTATGGCAAGCTCAAGTTGGCATCACCTCTGGAGTCTATTGTCCATATAAACAAATTCATAATCACTCAGGTGTTCTTTTTATAATATTCACCTTCACCACTGTTGTTACTTGCCAGAGTTAAAATTAAATGTATAATTATTTCACCACTGTAGCCACTATTGTGGCAGTCTTCAAAAAAAAGAAAAGGGTCAATTAAAAAAATGCCATTATAAGTTCACCGAAGTACAAGCAAACAATAGGCTTTTATAAATTAATATACCTTACGCAAGAGGCCTCCCTCTAGCTTCTGCCTCTTGGCAGCTTGATTCTCAACAGTGGAGGAATTGCACATGTTACTATCGTTGCTTTGAGCAAGTAGCTTCTGAAATCTAAATAAAAAATAACAAACTGACAAGGTTAATGGCAAGATCATATATTGCTAAATTGCACTGCTTTTTAAAGGACTTAAGTATTATGTAGTCAATACTCATAGCCTAGGCGAATATGTAATTACATATAACAACGCCACTTTGGAGCTCTCATAGGGAAAGTATCTATCGTGTGAACCAGTGGTTTTCTCATTAGATAAGAAAAAAAAGGATTGAAAATTTCCAACATTACCTAGAACCAGCTGTGCAACAGGGCTGATTTTGTTTTGCCAACTGACTCGCTGTAGGTTTCATCAGAGATGAGCTTCTTTGCAAAAATGGTTTTCTGGTCTCAGATTTAGCTTTTGGTTTATCATTGGATATTTGATTGCCAGGAGCAAAGCCAGAAAAAAAGGGTAAGAACACGTAACAGACTAGGAATTCAACAAAGAATACAGTTGACAGTAGTGAGAACTAAATACTGAACACATGAACAATTTAAGTTTCAGCAATTGCAATAAAGTGAACCTTGGACAAAGAACTAGTAAACTTAAATTAAACCCAATATTTGCACGGTCTAGCAGTACAGCACCTGCAGTAAATTTTAATGGTTGATTCAGAGCTTTCTTTAGAACCTCTTGTATATCCGTGAAGATCCTTCTATAACTCGCTTCATGGTCTAGAAGACAATATAAGGTATGATAATGTCAGTGGGGAAGAATTTTTATGCAATGGACATTGGACACAATAAAAAAATACAACAAGAACTTGTCTCCAAATTTTTTATTTTGCAGCTTCCAATCAATCCTATGGCAAGTTGACCAGAGATTTGATCTGGTTAGTAATATGCTTATGATAACAAGTTGAACAAAATAAAAGAGCATAAATTGCTAAAAAAAAAAGCTTGATAAATAGTACCTCCAGCGACATCCATAGCAGAAATTTCAGGGTGCAAGGCATCATCAGATTCATAGTTGGTAATTGTATAATCATCTTCTACAGGTTTACACTTGGGAGAGATACTGACATTTTCCAGGAGAGTGTCCTCCCCTAAAACTAACGTTGTAACAAAGGCTACAAACCGAAATCAAAGGAAAGAAAGAAACAAAACCCGTAAATAACAGAATCAAAATAATATTTTTTTTTTAAAGAAAAGATCTTTTACAATTAAATAAATTTACCCAAAAAAAAAAAAAAGACGTTTTGAACAACAATTTAATTTATTAAATTGTTAAAAGACGTTTTTATCTTTCTAATTTAAAGTTAGAAACTTTGAAATAAAAAGCTACTAAGAAAAAGAAACATTCTTGTTCTTCGCAGAACAAAACATTCCCACTAAAGAAAGCAGCGGTAGAGTTTAAAACTAGAAGAAACTCACGGGAAGGAGGATAACTGGGCGCCGAGTGGAACCAGAGCTCCGCCGCCTGAGCCTCGGCGAACGACTCCTCTCTCGTGAAATCGAAAAACCGAGCTGCATCAAACTCGTAATCTAGATCAATCTCCCTCACCTCGAACACTGGCTCTATCTCCATTTCCATCTCGCGCTTTCTTTTCCCCTGAAACACACAATTGCTGCCCCAACCTCTCCCTTTCTCTCTAACTTCACCCCAACACAATTATTTTATCAATAACCCTTGGACTATGACATCCCAACTTAGCAAAGGGCGCAGATTTCGGTGAGCTTAGCTTGCAGTTTGAGTTCAATTCACTGCCGTGTTGCAGGAAAGAAAATAAATTATGTCCCCTGTAGTGGTATATAATTGCACTCCAGACAACGAAAACAAAAACAGGGAGCAACAGCATTCATAGCGTACGGTGCAAAAGATGAAGCCGGGGATTGGATTTTGTTTCCTCAGTTGTTGGTTTCGGGGTTTTGTAATGATCCAGAATTTGAAATGAACGTCCTTTGTTGGAAATAAAATAACTGTTTTGCATACCGTACCGCAAAACATGAATGGAAAGATAAGTAGCCGTTTTTATTTATAACTTTGTATAATTTAAATTATAAAATATAAATTTATAAAATAAAATAATAACACTTGGGTTTTTGTATCCAGTCACGTCAAATCACGTATAAATGTATTTTTTTGTTTTCAAGATAATGATTTGAATCGAACTCTTTACAAATTTATTAAAAAAAAATAAAAATAAATAAAATAATAACATCAAAATATGTAAATCTTGGTGTCGATTTGACTACAATGCCACTGGGGTTCTAGCTTCTGAGAAATCCCGACCACGTTAGTTGGGATAGGAATAGAGGGCAGAAAGGGTAAGATGGGTTTGAAATTTGAAAATATTTGCGAATGTGATCCGTCTTTGAAGTGAAAGGAAAAAAAAAAAAAAAAGTACAAATAAAAATATTAATTTATACTTTTTATTTTAAAATATTAATTTGTCATTTTTTATTTAAAGATATTAATTTTTAATATTTTAATTAAAAATTTTATTTATTACATTAATATTATTATTTAATTAATATTTTTAATGTAAAATATAAAATTAATATTTTTATCTACACATTTTATAAGTGAAAGGGACAGTGCGACCGGCCAGAGATGGGTTTCGGGCGGCGTGAGTACGCCGACGACTCTGAAATTTTGGCGGAGGTTGAATTGCCCCTGGTGTTAGGATACAATTACGAGATTGCCACTAACGGTTTAATTCGTTTGTCAAAATGGTGGGAAGTGGTGGCCCCTCTATATAAATGCTAATTCAAAAATGAAGAAGATCTAAATAAGGGTAAAATGGGAATTTTTAATAATCCAAGCAAACATAAAGTTAAGTAATTTTTAATTTGATAATTGCTATTTTCCAATTTTCTTGAAACGTAGTATATGAACATGGGATGCGTAACATGCGTTAAAGGGATTCTAAAATCTGCTCATAAATTATTAAAATAATATAATTTTAAAATGTTTTATACGTTTAATTTTTAGTTAAATATCTAATTTGTTTCGTTAATTATTATACAAAATTTTGAATTGTTAAATTAAAAAAATTTATAAATTAATCTCTCAATTATTATAGAGATTCTTAAATTGATCCATAAACTAAAAAAAATTTATGATTTGGTCCCTAAATTTTTTAAATTTAGTTTCAAGCTATTAAAAAACAACTAACATGTCATGTTAGTAACATGATATATATTTTTTAAGTAATGATTTTCTATTATTAAATAATAGACATATCAGTTGTTTTTTTATTGAAAGAATTAACTTAGAGCTAAATTTCAAAATTTTAGGGATCAAATCTGAATTTTTTTTAGTTTAGATACTAACTCAAGGGTGCGTATAATAGTTGAGGGATTAAATTAAAAATTTAACCTTAATTTTCTTTAAATTTTGCTTAATTTTTTCAAGTTTGACAAACAAAATACTAATCTCTTATATAAAATATAGAAGTGGATCTTGATTCAGATAGCATTTATGTTGTCTAATATTGTACCAATCACCAAATCAAAATGAAATTGAAAATTTTAAACTTATTGATCGACAAAATTGAAAATTAAAATGGTGCTCGAATTTTGATTTGACTCCCTTGATGGTTCTTGTGTTTGTCCTTTTGAAGGATTTCGAATCTTATAATAAGAGCAAGAAAGAAAGAGTAGACTGCCTCATTAAAATGGGAACCAAAAACAGGCTAATAAACAGTGTACTGCTGAAAATAGACCCATCCTTGCCTTGAGAAACAGTCTGATATAATCCCCCGGGCATATTATGGGGGACAAAATGCTTGCAGCGCATTAACTCCCAATCGACTTTTGGAGAGTGGGAGTATTTATTTGGTAGTTGGAAATTTCAGACTAATGAGAACTGACACATAAATGTTTCTCACTGACGTCCCAAGCACAAAACCGTACATGGGTTCTCCTTCCCCTCTCTCCTAAAATAAAACAATGTCCCCGACAAAGATTTATAAACTTTAAGCTATAATTGGGTAAAAATTAGTAAAGGAAAGAAGGGGGAGGAGAGGGGAAGGAAGGAGTGGAGAAGTGAAAAGAAGAAAAAGTTTAATATTAGTTTTAATTGGATAGACAAAAGTGAAACAAAGGAAAAGGTAATATTTTTATTTAATTAAATAATTTAATAAAAAAATTTTTAAAATTTATTAATTAAATAAATAGTTGAAATAAAATGTTTATGTATATTTATTTTTTAAAAAATTAAAAACAAAAATAAATTAAATAATACAATCCATCACAACCCTTTCACATCGGAAGGATTAAAAACAGAGGAAGGGAGAGGGCTCTCTCTCCCTCCATCACCCTCCCCTCCATTTAAATGATTTACACAAACAAGAGAAGGTGCTCTTTCTCCCTTAGTCTCCTCTTATTCCTTTCTAACTTCTTCAATCCAAACAAAGTGTAAAATTATACCAAACAAAGTGTAAAAGAACTTTTTTGTGGTAATCTCTTTACGTTGGAAGTAATAGATCCTGAATTCGAGTTTTATGGCATGCAGGTAAGGTGAGATAAGAGATAGAAGAGTGTTGCCTCCCGTTATGCAACCAATATCAAAAAAAAAAAAAATGCTATGATTATAATTTATATTAGATTATAAATGTATATTAATAATGTAGTATTAAACGAATAAATATATATATAATATTATACATGTTTATTAA